GAAAAAAAGCTGCAAAGAAGTTGGATGGAAGAAGAAGAGTTTGTAAACGTGGTGAAGTGCAGTGAAGAAGAAGAGAAAATGAAAAAAAAAATGAGAAAGGGAACAAAAAGCTGCAAAGAGTCTTAACGGTCAAAAACATATCGGATCAATTTTTCAGAATTCAATTGTATGAATAATAGTCAAACACTATTCAAATAATCGATTCCAGAATATGAAATAAATAAGAACCAAACGCGTGATTGTTATTAGCTTATACTTTTGAGTAACATTATGTATGATTTCTTGATTTTCATACCTGTAACACAAGCAGTGGATAAGAAGAAAAATCCCTGCCGAATATCAAAAGCTGGAACCAGCTGCCTCATCTTCAAGCTTGGAGAGAAGTCATCTTCACCAAACTCTTCATCAATAGCACAACTTGTTTCAGCCTCCCTGAACAAAGCTCCCTTCCATTGCACTCAATCTGCAGCCTCCCATTTTCATCCCCCCAACCTCCCAGCCAAAGGGTAGAACCCCACAAGAGCTTTGCTCAAAGCCTCCTTAAGCAGAGAAGTGTCAAAGAATTATTGGATTTATCAGAAGCAGCAGGCAGCGGTGGCCGCCGGTAGAAGTAAACGAGAGGGGTATGACCTTTGTGTTGATGCAACAGGGTCCAAGTTGGGATCCATAGAGAATGGTAGGGAGTTCTTGATCAGGGCGTACAATACTGTCTTCTTTACGTGAATCTCCATTGATGTTCTTCTTCTTTGCTTGTTTGCTTGATTGATTGATTTCACTGGCTTTGTTGAATAGAGCTTTAGATCAATGACAGACAATAACATAAAAGTAGTTGCGGTATTGATTAATGGCCCCGCATTATCCTAAAGAAGATTAAAATAATTCCCCCGCATTTCTTTCGAAAGAAGATTTAATAACTCCCTCGATCCTTGACTGGGAAAAATCCGTTTAGTAGCACGTGTTTTTTTTTCTCATTTTGACCCAAATCAGAATAGAAATGAGGGTATTTGATCAAGATTCAAGAAGAATTATGCGTGGGTGTGTTGATTTATAATTGAATTAAATATGACAAGAGAGATATACGAGGAGAAGTAACGATTTTTTTTTTCTTTAAAAAAAAAAGAGATAATAGATAAAAATATTGAATTAAAAATATTATATTCTATTTTAATTTTATGATTTCGCTAAATCTAGTGCTAGATTTAAGTTTGGAACAATAGTATAAAATATCATGAAATACTTGTTTCTATGAGAGTTTATGGTTGTTAAATTTATCTTTTATTTCCTTATAAATATTAATATTTAGGGGATTTTTTAACTTTAAGTATAATACAATCCACGAACTTCTCTTACAACCATAACATAACAGCTGAGTTGACACTGTGACGTCCCACACCCAAAGGCACAAAAATGATTTGACAGACCTAAAGCGTCATAGGAAACGATCGTTCCTTATTAAAGAAATGATTGTTCCTTACAAAAGGAATAGTCATTCTTTATGATAAACGTTGGACAATCCTTAAGGTATGGTCATATCCTTCAATAAGGTATGGTGATATTACTTTATTGAAGGAATGACTATTCATCTAATCAAAGTTTATTAATGTCTTAGGTATGATGAAAGCTTATGTGAAAGTTTCAACTCTACTATCACAATACGATTGCAAGAGAAGACTGTGATTATGAATTGTAAAAGTAATATTTTTCTTTAACTTTACTTGTTTAATTCTTTTTTTTTTTTTTTTTAAATAAGGACTCTTCAGCCCTTTGATAGGATCTAGATTTTGAGTAACCGAAATTTGCAATGGAAAGTCATTTTATGGTGAAGTGCTACTGTTAGAACTGTTTAGGTGAGATAGTGTCAATTTTTAGAACTACGAGCTAAACTGTTACTTTGCCAAATTTCAAGCAGAAAATTAATTCCTTTAAAATATGTCAACACATGTTTCACGTGTTATTAAAATAATATATCAACCCTTCCTAACAACTAATCTCATATATATATTATATATATAATAGCTGAAGCCATATGGCTAACCGTTAATCTCTTACGGTTTCACAAAAAATAATAAACGTATCAAAGTTTTGAAAAGTAATAGATACATTAAAAAATTTTGAGTACGTACACAGATTATTTGTCAAATTAGAAATCATAATTTGTTCCAAAGTAGATTTTCAGCATTATGAAAATCCAATAAGATATTTAATGGGTTCTCCAAATTCATAGGGTTAACTGTTAATCCCTCTTATGGTATCAATTAACAAGAATTTGTCCCCCAAATACCTAAAATAACAATTTACCCATTATCAACGCATATTTGAAGGTTTTAGTATTTAATTAACAAATCAAGAGTAAATTGTGTTAGACATAAAATAAAACTCTAATGAAAAGTAACGTCTAAGTTCCACTTATAAATTACATACGACTGAAATGGCATATGCTTATTCAAGGAACTCGTGTATATATATGAGTCAATAAATACTCTAACATTAAAACTCTTGTGTATTATACGTTCCAAGTAGGAGGCACGATTCATGACATTTTCAAAAGAAAGAAAACAGGACAAACGTAAACATAAAAAAATGGTGAAACACAAAAGAAGATGTTATTCATGAGCCATGTTACAAACGTTAATAAAGATGAACAATTCACTCTATTTTATTTTTCATAAAGAGCTGGCTTATAATATTTTTCATTAGGGCAACTCCCTCGGTGTATAACGACTTCTTGAAGAGTCCATGTGAGGAGTCTCTAAGCATATAATCAAAGATAAACTCCTTCATTAGATGGGCTTGACAGGATAAATGAAGCTCCTTCAGAAATGATAGTAGCCCGCCATAAAAATTGGGCTACCCTATCCAAAATCCATATCATATATGGGCATTCGAGCCCAACTCACTATCCTTAGGTTAGGACAATTACTATTGGAACTCCCTGTTCAAGGGTCATCAGATCATTATAATGTTGTCCGCATAAGCTAACGTGACCTCAAATATCCATCATTCATCTGCTTAACGCTTTATGAATAATCTTCACAGTGTAAATCAACGGTTTTGACTGAATATCACCTGCCAAGGCAATCGGTGTAGCAGTAAATATCACATTCCCGAGATACCCAATGGGAGTTGAGGATTCAATCTTGATCGTCCTTCTGTTGGTATGTATAATTTGGTTGATTGATTCTCAGGCAACGTTGTGCCTTGCACACACATCGCCATATATGTGCTGAAAATCACAAAAGTGCTATACGTGGCTCCATGCTCATTTTTTAGTAGCTTTAAAAGCATTGATTTGATCAAGTGGTAAACGAAATCTCGCCATGGAAGGGGTCTAGGACTTGACTGTGATTCAAGAATATCCATGGAAGGAGGGGGATGGTATTCAATGTGGTTAAATGAGGATGAGGTGGGATCCTAGCATGAAGTATGGTTCGACAATAAACGGGGGACACTAATGGAGAAGCCAGATGTTATCTCAGCCCATGATTTAATGATGAAAGCAGAAGTTCCATCTCCCAAAATATGATGCCAACCCAATCCCAGACAAAATTCCTCCGCACTTGAATAAGTTACCTATATCATAAATACGTGATACATATTGGGATTGGGAACAAATGGACTGAAACATCAACAATACGATGATAACATTTTTATATGGGATCGTACGTACCTGTAACAGAAGCAATGGATAAAAAAAGATATCACTTGTCGAATAATCAATGGTTGGAACGAGCTGCCTCATCTTCAAAACTTGGAGTGAAATCATCTTCAATAGCACAACTTGTTTCAGCCTCCATGAACAGACTCCCCTCCATTACAATCAATCTGCAGCCTCCAATTTTCATCTCTTCCCAACCCCCAGCCAAAGGGTAGAAACGCCACAAGAGCTTTGCTCAAATCCTTAAGCACACAACTTCCAAAGAAATCGGACGATCTGCCGTCTGCGACGGTTGCCGACGGTGGAAGTACACCAGAGGGATGTGAGTCTGTGTATGTCCAACAGATCCAGTTAGAGATCCATAGACCATGCTTGGGCGTTTCTCGAGCTGGGCGTACAAACGCTTGTTGTCTCCTTACCTGAATCTCCATTATTGTGAGAAAAATTCTGGGTTTGATCCTGAAAAAGTTGAAGATATTTTCATAATCATTCTGACAAAAAGTACAGAGCTAAAAGCTTACCTCAATCTTGACAAAATCCCAAGTCCGGAAAAACCAGTAAAAAAAGAGGTGTTATATACTGAATAATAAAAATTGGATTTGTTATTAGATGTACATATCTCCATATAAAAAAAGAAAAGAAACAACATGTGATTTACGTTTTATTAATTAAAAAAAAAAAATCAAAAACAAACTTCTTTCTTTTGACGGGCTTGTCAAAATAAATTATTGCCCTGAAATGGAACAATAGCCCGGCCCATAAAAATTGGGCTGTCCCTTCCAAAATTTATATCATACATGAGCATTTCGACCTAGATCGCTATCCTTAGGTTGGGACAATTGCAACTAAGGGTTCCTTTTTTAAGGGTTGTCATATCGTGGTAATATTGTTCCATACAAGCTAATGTCGATCTCAAATACTCATCATCAATTTGCTTTAATGCTTTGTAAATAATTTTTATAGTGTAAATCATCAACAATTTTGATTAAGTATCACCTACTAAACCAATTGGAGTAGCAATAAATATCACATTTTCAAGATACTCGAATTGGAAGGGAGGATTTAATCATGATCGTCTATTTGTAGGTATGTATAATTTAATTGTTTGATCATCGAGTAACCCACGTGCCTTTGCACCTACAACGTCATACATGTGCTACAAAAATATCATAAATGGTATACGTGACACCTTGATCTTTCTTTAATTTTGATTTAAGGAAGTTGATATAATCAATTGATAAACTAAGTCTAGCAATGGAAGTGGATTCATGACCTGAACTCATTATCAATAACACAACTTGTTTCAGCCTCCATGAACAAAAATATAGAGTACCAAAAGAAGATTTTATAAAGCGCTGGGCTTATAATATTTTTTCATGGAGCCAACTCCTTCACTGTAAAAGAATTTCTTGAAGAGCTCCATGTGACAAGTCTCCAAGCATATAATTAAAGACAAACTCCTTTCATTTAATGGGCTTGGCAAGATAAATGATAGCCCTTCAAAGGGAACAATAGCCCAACCCATATAGATTGGACTACCCCATCCAAAATTTGTATCATATATGGGCATTCCACCCAAACTCACTATCCTTAGGTTAGGACACTTGCAAGTAGGGGCTCCTTGTTTGAGAGCAGTTAGATCATCGTAATGTTTTTCAACGTAAGCTAATGCCGATCTCAAGTACTCATCATCCATTCGCTTTAATGCTTCACGAATAATCTTCACAGCATAAATCAACGGTTTGGATCGAATATCATCTGCCAAGACAATCGGTGTAGCAATAAATACGGCATTCCCGAGATACCCCAATGGGAGTGGAGGATTGAACCTCAACCGTCCATTTGTGGGTATGTACAACTTAGTTGCTTGATCATTAGGCAAACCACGAGCTTTGCATACGCAACGCCAAACATGTGCTGCTAGAATTTCATAAGTGGAATACGTGACGCAATAATCTTCCTTGAATTTTGTTTTAAGGAAGTTGATTCGATCAAGTGATAGTTCAACTCTAGTCATGGAAGTGGGTAAAGCACCGGATTGTAACTCCGGAGGTGGGTGGTATTCGATGTGATCGAATGTGGGATAAGGTGGGGTTCTAGATTTTAGTATGGTTCGATCAATGAAGGGTGGGTTAGTAATAGAAAAACCAGATGTTATCTCAGCCCATGATTTGATGAAATTCAATCCAGAAGTTCCATCTCCCAATATATGATGCCATCCAACGCCAAGACAAACCCCTCCACACTTGAAATAAGTTGCATGTGGGTGCAACCTGTCCAAGTTAGAGATCCATATAAAATGATTGGGAGTTTTTTGGCAGAGCGTACACACTTGTCTTCTTTGTGAATCTCCCTGATAATAATTCTCTTCTTTGATTCTTGTATTCACTGGCTTAAATTGACTAGGATTTGAGCTTCATTAATGGCGCAGGTTAAAACAATGTAGATTCATATTGTCTCCCACATTATTTGAAAAATGGTCAAACTAATTAAAAAAAACCACAAATCTTTAAGTATTATTAACAGAACAATCAAGATTTGTGCCAACACGTCGAGACGACTTCTATGATAATAATCATTTGTTGATTACGGAATCACATGTTTTTACAGAGAAGGAGTTGGTCCCATGAAAAAATATAATAAGTGCAACATGCTAAAGAGATGAACAATCCACTCCTAGATTTTATTTATTTAATTTTTCTTTGTATGAAGAGTGAGGCTTACAATGTTTTTTCATGGAGCCACTCCTCACTGTAAAAGACTTCTTGAAGAGTTCTATGTATGATTCTCCAAGCATATAATCAAAGACAAACTTCTTTCAGATGGATTTGGCAAAATAAATGATGTCCCTCCAAAGAAATAATAGCTCGCCCCATATAGATTGGCTTGCCCATCCAAAATCCGTATCATATACAGGCATTCGGAGCCAACTCACTATCTTGAGGTTAGGAAAATTAGAAGTGGGGGCTCTTGCTTGAGAGTCGTCTGATCACGATCATGTTGTTTCAAATAAGCTAATGCTGACCTCAAAAACTCATCGTTCACTTGCTTAATGCTTCATGAATACTCCACAGTGTAAATCAAGGATTTGATTGAATACACCTACTAAGACAACTGATGTAGCACTGAATAATACATTCCCAAGATAGTTGAATGGGAGTGGAGGATTCAATCTTGATCGTCCATTTGTGGTATTATAACTTGGTCTCTTGATCATCAGACATCCACGTGCCTTGCATACGCCCCCATATCTGTGCTGCTAAAATCTCATAGTGGTATATGTGACACCATGATCTGTCTTCAGTTTTTTCTTTTAAGGTGTTGATTTGATCGAATGATAGTTTAAGTCTAGCCATGGTGGGTATAGGACTTGACTGCGATTCATGAGCATTAACGGAAGTAGGAGCGTGTATTCAACATGATCGAATTAGGGGAAGGTGGTGTATAAGCATCAAGTATGGTTCGATCAATGAATGGTTGGATGTTGTCACAGAAGCCAAGTGCATCTCAGCCCATAATTTGATGAAATGAAATGCAGAAGTCCATCTCCCAATAAATGATCCCATCCAACTCCGAGACAAACTCCTCCACACTTGAAATAGGTTACCTACCAATAATAAGAAAGATTAATTATACACATAGCAAAGTATCATATGGGAGCTAGAGCGGGCAAAGCCCGAGCCCAAGGGGCCCGATCCACAGGCCCAATCGAGGACCAGCCTGGCCCTGGGGAGGGGTGATCGAGCCCAGGCCAATCCCTCCTCAGGGCCCCGGCTTGGACCAGTCCCAAGCGTGGGTCCGATTAATTTTAGAAGACCCCCTAACCTCCTAACAAATAATCAAAACCTTCTTGACAATAACCAAACCCTTCTATAATTATGAGGTATAGGACCGATCCCAAGCCCACTCAAAAGTAACGGACCCAAGACAATCCCAACTAATTTAGGACTGGGCCTGGGACCAGACTGACCCTGTTTGCCCCCTCTAAATTGGAGTCGTCTGATCACCATCATGTTGTTTCAATTTATTATTTTAAAATCTCAAAGAAACTTTTGGTATTTAATCAAACTTCATGAACATTATTTTGGATAAATTTTTAGAATAAATTAGATAGTTTAGTAGAGTTATAATTACGAGAATAAGATTTGAAAATATGTGTTTGTTAAATTATTTTTACCTTGATATTTGTGTTTAAATATTTAATTGATATGTTTTTTTATAAAGATTTATTAAATAATATTTGGTGGATTTTGTTAAAATAATGTATTATTATTATAACTTATCAATTGGGACAGATTTGGTGGTGTCGGGTGGTTCACGGTGGTGGGTGGTTGACAGTGAATGTGCAACAAATCTGGTGGTGTGGGGTGGTTCACGTGATAGGTGGTTCACGTGTGAAGAAATAAAGTTGGATGCGTTATGTTTGGTATTTGTAGGTGGAGAAGAAGTTGGATGGCAGAAGAAGAAGAAGTTTGTAAATATGGTGAAGCACTGATGCAGTGAAGAAGATAGAAAATGAAATAAAAATGAGAAAGAGAAAAAAAGCTGCAAAGAAGTTGGATGGAAGAAAAGAAGTTTGTAAACGTGGTGAAGTGCAGTGAAGAAGAAGAGAAAATGAAAAAAAAAATGAGAAAGGGAACAAAAAGCTGCAAAGATCTTAACGGTCAAAAAACATATCAGGATCAATTTTTCAGAATTCAATTGTATAATTAGTCAAACACTATTCAAATATCGATTCCAGAATTGAAAATAAATAATGAACCAAACGCGCTGATTGTTATTAGCTTATACTTTTGAGTAACAATTAATGTATGATTTCTTGATTTTCATACCTGTAACACAAGCATGGATAAGAAGAAAAATCCCTTCCGAATAATCAAAAGCTGGAACCAGCTCCTCATCTTCAAGCTTGGGAGAAGTCATCTTCACCAAACTCTTCATCAATAGCACAACTTTGTTCAGCCTCCATGAACAAAGCTCCCTCTCCATTGCACTCAATCTGCAGCCTCCCATTTTCATCCCTTCCCAACCTCCCAGCCAAAGGGTAGAACCCCACAAGAGCTTTGCTCAAAGCCTCCTTAAGCAGAGAAGTGTAAAGAAATTATTGGATTTATCAGACGCAGCAGGCAGCGGTGGCCGCCGGTAGAAGTAAACGAGAGGGGTATGACCTTTGTGTTGATGCAACAGGTCCAAGTTGGAGATCCATAGAGAATGGTAGGGAGTTTCTTGATCAGGGCGTACAATACGTCTTCTTTACGTGAATCTCCATTGATGATTCTTCTTCTTTGCTTTTTGCTTGATTGATTGATTTCACTGGCTTTGTTGACTAGAGCTTTGATTCAATGACAGACAATAACATAAAAGTAGTTGCGGTATTGATCATGGCCCCGCATATTCCTAAAGAAGATTAAAATAATTCCCCGCATTTCTTTCGAAGAAGATTTAATAACTCCCTCGATCCTTGACTTGGGAAAAATCAGTTTAGTAGCACGTGTTTTTTTTTCTCATTTTAGACCCAAATCAGAATTAAGAATGAGGGTATTTGAATCAAGATTCAAGAAGAATTATGCGTGTGTGTTGATTTATATTGAAATTAAATATGACAAGAGATATACGAGGAGAAGTAACGATTTTTTTTTTTTCTTTAAAAAAAAAAGAGATAATAGATAAAATATTAGAATTAAAAAATATATTATTCTATTTATAATTTTATATTTCGCTAAATCTAGTGCTAGATTTAAGTTTGGAACAATAGTATAAAATATCATGAAATACATTGTTTTCTTATGAGAGTTTTATGAGTTAATTTATCTTTTATTTCCTTATAAATATTAATATTGAGGATTTTTTAACTTTAAGTAATACTACATCCACGAACTTCTCTTACAACCATAACATAACAGCTGAGTTGACACTGTGACGTCCCACACCCAAAGGCACAAAATGATTTTGACTAGACCTAAAGCGTCATAGGAAACGATCGTTCCTTATTAAAGAAATGATTGTTCCTTACAAAAGGAATAGTCATTCTTTATGAATAAACGTATGGACAATCCTTAAGGTATGGTCATATCCTTCAATAAGGTATGGTGATATATACTTTATTGAAGGAATGACTATTCATTTCTAATCAAAGTTATTTAATGTCTTAGGTATGATGAAAGCTTATGTGAAATTTCAACTCTACTATCACATACGATTGCAAGAGAAGACTGTGATATGAATTGTAAACGTAATATTTTTCTTTAACTTTTACTTGTTTAATTCTTTTTTTTTTTTTTTAAAAAGACTCTTCAGCCCTTTGATAGGATCTAGATTTTGAGTAACCGAAATTTCAATGGAAAGTCATTTTATGGTGAAGTGCTACTGTTAGAACTGTTTAGGTGAATAGTGTCAATTTTTAGAACCTACGAGCTAAACTGTTACTTTGCCAAATTTCAAGCAGAAAATTTAATTCCTTTAAAAATATGTCAACACATGTTTCACGTGTTATTAAAATAATATATCAACCCTTCCTAACAACTAATCTCATATATATATATTATATATAATAGCTGAAGCCTATATGGCTAACCGTTAATCTCTTACGGTTTCACAAAAATAATAAACGTATCAAAGGTTTGAAAAGTAATAGATACATTAAAAAATTTTGAGTACGTACACAGATTATTTGTCAAATTAGAAATCATTAATTTGTTCCAAAGTAGATTTTCAGCATTATGAAAATTCCAATAAGATATTTAATGGGTTCTCCAAATTCATAGGGTTAACTGTTAATCCCCTCTATGGTATCAATTAACAAGAATTTGTCCCCCAATACCTAAAATAACAATTTACCCATTATCATACGCATATTTTGAAGGTTTTAGTATTTAATTTAACAAATCAAGAGTAAATTGTGTAGACATAAAATAAAACTCTAATGAAATAGTACGTCTAAGTTCCACTTATAAAATTACATACGACTGAAATGGCATATGCTTATTCAAGGAACCTCGTGTATTATTATGAGTCTAAATACTCTACTAATAAACTCTTGTGTATTATCGTTCCAAGTACGGAGGCACGATTCATGACATTTTCAAAAGAAGAAAACAAGGACAACGTAAACATAAAAAAATGGGTGAACAACAAAAGAAGTGTTATTCATGAGCCATGTTACAAACGTTAATAAAGATGACAATTCACTCTATTTTATTTTCATAAAGAGCTAGGCTTATAATTTTTTTCATTAGGGCAACCCCTCGGTGTATAACGACTCTTGAAGAGTTCCATGTGAGGAGTCTCTAAGCATATAATCAAAGATAAACTCCTTCATTAGATGGGCTTGACAGGATAAATGAAGCTCCTTCAGAAATGATAGTAGCCGGCCCAATAAAAATTGGGCTACCTATCCAAAATCCATATCATATATGGGCATTCGAGCCCAACTCACTATCTTAGGTTAGGACAATTACTTGGGAACTCCCTGTTCAAGGGTCATCAGATCATTATAATGTTGTTCCGCATAAGCTAACGTTGACCTCAAATATCCATCATTCATCTGCTTAACGCTTTATGAATATCTTCACAGTGTAAATCAACGGTTTTGACTGAATATCACCTGCCAAGGCAATCGGTGTAGCAGTAAATATCACATTCCCGAGATACCCATGGGAGTTGAGGATTCAATCTTGATCGCCTTCTTTTGGTATGTATAATTTGGTTGATTGATTCTCAGGCAACCGTCGTGCCTTGCACACACATCGCCATATATGTGCTGCTAAAATCACAAAAGTGCTTATACGTGGCTCCATGCTCATTTTAGTTTAGCTTTAAAAGCATTGATTTGATCAAGTGGTAACGAAATCTCGCCATGGAAGTGGGTCTAGGACTTGACTGTGATTCAAGATATCCATGGAAGGAGGGGGTGGTATTCAATGTGGTTAAATGTAGGATGAGGTGGGATCCTAGCATGAAGTATGGTTCGATCAAACACGGTGGGACCTAATGGAAAGCCAGATGTTATCTCAGCCCATGATTTAATGAAATGAAAAGCAGAAGTTCCATCTCCCAAAATATGATGCCACCAATCCCAAGACAAATTCCTCCGCACTTGAAATAAGTTACCTATATCATAAATTACGTGATACATATTGGGATTTGGGAACAATAATGGACTGAAACATCAACAATACGATGATAACATTTTTATATTGGGATCGTACGTACCTGTAACAGAAGCAATGGATAAAAAAAGATATCACTTTCGAATAATCAATGGTTGGAACGAGCTGCCTCATCTTCAAACTTGGAGTGAAATCATCTTCAATAGCACAACTTGTTCAGCCTCCATGAACAAGACTCCCTCTCCATTACAATCAATCTGCAGCCTCTCATTTTCATCTCTTCCCACCTCCCAGCCAAAGGGTAGAACGCCACAGAGCTTTGCTCAAAGCCTCCTTAAGCCACAACTTCCAAAGAAATCGGAACGATCTGCCGTCTGCGACGGTTGCCGACGGTGGAAGTACACCAGAGGGATGTGAGCTCTGTGTATGTCCAACAGATCCAATTAGAGATCCATAGACCATGCTTGGGCGTTTCTCGAGCTGGGCGACAACGCTTGTTGTCTCCTTTACCTGAATCTCCATTATTGTGTAAAATTCTGGTTTTGATCCTGAAAAAGTTGAAGATATTTTCATAATCATTCTGACAAAAATGTACAGAGCTAAAAGCTTACCTCAATCTTGACAAAATCCCAAGTCCGGATTAAAACCAGATAAAAAGAGTATTCGATTTTTGTCCTTATATAAAGCAACAGAAAAATATTAAACAGTTAAGGAACTACTTGTATAAATATAAGACTGAAATATCTTTGGATAAGATGAAATATTTCTTCAAGTGTCAATTTTTGTAATAAGTTGAAAAAAGATGTGTTTCTCATAGTTAATATGATTGCTTATTGTAAATATAGTCTCTCAAAAGAACTGGTGACTACAAAGTTCGATGTATTTAATACTAATGGATCAAAGATAGAATGCAATAAAACTAAAGACAAAATGAGTAGAATAGTATCAGGTTTTACTGATTAAAGTAAACCATTTCCTGCATCATAAATGTTTATTAAATATCAAAAGTTTCAAAGTTTTTATTGCATACTACTCCCTATATTAAGTATTAAATATTAGTTTAAGAAAAACATAAACATGAATAACTATAATTAATACAAATACACAAAGAAGTATTGTGACAACCAAAGAAGTATCGTGACAACCATTACTCTTTTATCTTCCTTTTATTACATAAACAATCCAACGCTTACAACATAAAACATTACTTAAATCTTAAGAACAAAGATGAAGATAAGAATCTTCATTTCTTGTCCATCCTTCAATGTCAAAATCATAAAACAACTTCTTAAAGAGCTCCATGTGGTGGGTCTCTAAACATAGGACCAATGACAAACTCTTATCACTATATGGGCCTGGTAAAATATAAGTTGCCCCTTCAATGGGGAGACTAGCCCGGCCTACAAATATTGGGCGGCCCCATCCAAAATCAGCCTCATAAATGGGCATATGACTCCAACTAGTGATCTTTAGGTTTGGAGATTTGAAAGAGTGAGCCCTTTGGTATAGGTTGTGGGTCATCTCATTATGGTTTTGTTCCAAATAAGCAAGAGCTGATTTCAAGTATTCATCATCCCTCCTCTTCAATTCTTTATGAATTTTTTCTATAGTTGAAATCAATCGTTCTGATTGGATTTCACCTGAAAGGCAAATTAGAGAAGTTATAAATATTACATTACCAAGGTAACCTGATGGGAGTGGAGGATTCAATCTTGATCGTCCATCTGTCGGTATGTGTAATCGAGTCGGTTGATCATCGGATAATCCACATGTCTTGCACAAACAACGCCAAATATGGGCAGCTAGGATCTCATAAGTACTGCACTTAGCACCATAATCTTTCTTTAATCTTGCTTTAAGGGTATTGATTTGATCGCTTGATATTTTGAGGCTAGCAACGGAAGTAGAACGGACTACTGCACTTGTTTGTATTTCTTGAGATTTCATAGAAGGAGATGAATGATATTCGGTGTGGTCAAACGTAGGATTAGGTGGGGTCATTTCATGAAGTATTGTTGGATCAATGAACGGTGCGATGCTAATGGGTAAACCACGTGCCACACCAGCCCATGTGTTGATGAAATGGATTCCGGAAGGTCCATCAGCAACTGCATGATGCAATCCAATTCCGAGACACACTCCACCACACTTGAAAAAAGTTAACTAACAAAAATACAAACAAACAAATCATCAAAATTTATCGATTTAATTATTTATCTAAGCTTAGGCATCTAGAACTATTTCACACACAGTAGGTAGATTTTCAGAGGTATTGTCCACATAATTTTGTCCTGAAAAGGTAATTCTAGGTGATTGAATGTCCTTGTATTACATAAGGGACCAAAACTCTCATCTCTTAACTGATGTAAGACTTTGACACCAACACATTTAAACACACCAGTTTGTATAGATTGCTTTATCAATAATACTATACTTATAAAGAAATCTTACAAAGATTTTCATATAAAGTGAAGTGGCAAAAAATGAATAGAAGAGTGAAACAAAAAGTCAAACTCATTAAATTCACTCTTCTATTCATTTTTTGCCACATCATTTTGTATGAAAATCTTTGTAAATTTTTTTGTAAATGTAGTATTACTGTTAGTTTATATATGTAGTGCTATTCTTTTTACAAATCTAATTTTCATATCAACTAAAAATTTCTTCTAATTCTTGTTTATATAAGTATTGCTACACATCTTAACTTAATATTCTAGAATTTTCTTATTTCGAGTTGTTTATCTTCTGATCTTTTCATGTAACGTTTATGTATAAATTATAATATATAAAAATGCGATAAATAATAGAGCAGCACTCACTTACAACTTTTTCATATAACTCTGATGTGGTAGTTCACGATTGGTCAGCTCGTAGTGAGTCTCATTTATCCAAATACAAACTGATCAATCATGAGTTACTCATCTTCAACTGCACAACTTGTTTCAGCCTCCATGAACAAAGCCCCCTCTCCATTACACTCAATCTGCAGCCTCCCATTTTCATCCCTTCCCAACCTCCCAGCCAAAGGGTAGAACCCCACAAGAGCTTTGCTCAAAGCCTCCTTAAGCAGAGAAGTGTCAAAGAAATCAGATTTATCCGACACCGAAAGCGGCGGCCGCCGGTAGAAGTACAAGAGAGGAACGTGACCGTCATGTGGGTGCAACCTGTCCAAGTTAGAGATCCATATAGAATGATTGGGAGTTTTTTGAGCAGGGCGTACAACACTTGTCTTCGCTATGTGAATCTCCATTGATAATTAATTCTCTTCCTTGATTGCTTGTATTCGCTGGCTTAAATATTGGCTAGGATTTGAGCTTCATTAATGGCGGAGGTTAAAACAAATGTAGATTCAATATTGTCTCCCACAATTATTTGAAAAATTGGTCAAACTAATTAAAAAAAAACCAACAAATCTTTAAGTATTATTAATAGAAACAATCAAGATTATGTGCCAACACGTCGAGACGACTTCTATGATAATATATCATTTGTTAAGGACTCACATGGTTTTTAAAATCAGACGAAATATATATATATATTGACCCATGCTTAGAGGCCCATCATCGCATCTTCAAGAAGTTCGTTTACAGAGAAGGAGTTCGTCCCATGAAAAAATATAATAAGTGCAACATGCTAAAGAGATGAACAATCCACTCCTAGATTTTATTTTATTATAATTTTTCTTTGTATGAAGAGTTAGGCTTACAATGTTTTTTCATGGAGCCAACTCCTCACTGTAAAAGAACTTCTTGAAGAGTTCTATGTGATGATTCTCCAAGCATATAATCAAAGACAAACTTCTTTCATCATATGGATTTGGCAAAATAAATGATGTCCCTTCCAAAGAAATAGTAGCTCGCCCCATATAGATTGGCTTGCCCCATCCAAAATCCGTATCATATACAGGCATTCGAAGCCAACTCACTATCTTTAGGTTAGGAAAATTGGAAGTGGGGGCTCTTTGCTTGAGAGTCATCTGATCACGATCATGTTGTTTCAGATAAGCTAATGCTGACTTCAAATACTCATCGTTCACTTGCTTTAATGCTTCATGAATAATCTCCACAGTGTAAATCAACGGATTTGATTGAATATCACCTACTAAGACAACTGGTGTAGCACTGAATAATACATTCCCAAGATAGTTGAATGGGAGTGGAGGATTCAATCTTGATCGTCCATTTGTGGGTATATATAACTTGGTCTCTTGATCATCAGACAATCCACGTGCCTTGCATACGCAACGCCATATCTGTGCTGCTAAAATCTCATAAGTGGTATATGTGACACCATGATCTGTCTTCAGTTTTTCTTTTAAGGTGTTGATTTGATCAAATGATAGTTTAAGTCTAGCCATGGTGGGTATAGGACTTGACTGCGATTCATGAGCATTAACGGAAGTAGGAGCGTGGTATTCAACATGATCGAATTTAGGGGAAGGTGGTGTATAAGCATCAAGTATGGTTCGATCAATGAATGGTTGGATGTTGTCACAGAAGCCAAGTGTCATCTCAGCCCATAATTTGATGAAATGAAATGCAGAAGTTCCATCTCCCAATAAATGATCCCATCCAACTCCGAGACAAACTCCTCCACACTTGAAATAAGTTACCTACCAATAATAAGAAAGATTAATTATACAGCATAGCAAAGTATCATTATGGGAGCTAGAGGCGGGCAAAGCCCGAGCCCAAGGGGCCCGATCCCAAGGCCCAATCGTAGGACCAGCCTGGACCCTGGAGGGGTGATCAAGCCCAGGCCAATCCCTCCTCTAGGGCCCAGGCTTGGACCAGTCCCAAGCATGGGCCCAATTAATTTTAGAAGACCCCCTAACCTCCTAACAAATAATCAAAACCTTCTTGACAAATAACCAAAACCCTTCTATAATATATGAGGTATAGGACCGATCCCAAGCCCACTCACAAAAGTAACGGACCCAAGATCAATCCCAACTAATTTAGGACTGGGCCTGGGACCAGACTGACCCTGTTTGCCCACCTCTAAATTGGAGTCGTCTGATCACCATCATGTTGTTTCAATTTTATTATTTTAAAAATCTCAAAGAAACTTTTGGTATTTAATCAAACTTCATGAACATTATTTTGGATAAGATTTTTAGAATAATATTAGATAGTTTAGTAGAGTTATAATTACGAGAATAAGATTTGAAAATATGTGTTTGTTAAATTATTTTTACCTTGATATTTGTGTTTAAATATTTAATTGATATGTTTTTTTATAAATGATTTATTAAAATAATATTTTGGTGGATTTTGTTAAAATAATGTATTATTATATATAACTTATCAATTTGGGACAGATTTGGTGGTGTCGGGTGGTTCACGGTGGTGGGTGGTTGACAGTGAATGTGCAACAAATCTGGTGGTGTGGGGTGGTTCACGGTGATAGGTGGTTCACGGTGTGAAGAAAATAAAGTTGGATGCGTTATGTTTGGTATTTGTAGGTGGAGAAGAAGTTGGATGGCAGAAGAAGAAGAAGTTTGTAAATATGGTGAAGCACTGATGCAGTGAAGAAGATGAGAAAATGAAATAAAAATGAGAAAGAGAAAAAAAAGCTGCAAAGAAGTTGGATAGGAAAGAAGAAGAAGTTTGTAAACGTGGTGAAGATGAAAATGAAAAAAAAAAAAATGAAGAAAGGGAACAAAAAGCTGCAAAAAGTTTTTAACGGTCAAAAACATATCAGGATCAATTTTTCAGAATTCAATTGTATGAATAATAGTCAAACACTATTCAAATAATCGGTTCCAGAATATGAAAATAAATAATAACCAAACGCGCTGATTGTTATTAGCTATACTTTTGAGTAACAATTAATGTATGATTTCTTGATTTCATACCTGTAACACAAGCAGTGGATAAGAAGAAAAATCCCTGCCGAATAATCAAAGCTGAACCACTGCCTCATCTTCAGCTTGGAAGAAGTCATCTTCACAAACTCTTCATCAATAGCACAACTTGTTTCAGCCTCCATGAACAAAGCTCCCTCTCCATTGCATCAATCTGCAGCCTCCCATTTTCATCCCTTCCCAACCTCCCAGCCAAAGGGTAGAACCCCACAAGAGCTTTGCTCAAAGCCTCTTAAGCAGAGAAGTGTCAAAGAAATTATTGGATTTATCAGACGCGCAGGCAGCGGTGGGCCCCGGTAGAAGTAAACGAGAGGGGTATGACCTTTGTGTTGATGCAACAGGTCCAAGTTGGAGATCCATAGAGAATGGTAGGGAGTTTCTTGATCAGGGCGTACAATACTTGTCTTCTTTACGTGAATCTCCATTGATGATTCTTTCTTTGCTTGTTTGCTTGATTGATTGATTTTGTGACTAGAGCTTTAGATTCAATGACAGAGAATAACATAAAAGTAGTTGCGGTATTGATATCAATGGCCCCGCTTATTCCTAAAGAAGATAAAATAATTCCCCGCATTTATTTCGGAAAGAAGATTAATAACTCCTCGATCCTGACTTGGGAAATCAGTTTAGCCAGTTTTATAGTAAATTGCCATGATGATTAGATATAGCACGTGTTTTTTTTTTCTTTTAGACCCAAATCAGAATTAAGAATGAGGGTATTTGAACAAGAATTCAAGAAGAATTATGGCGTGTGTGTTGATTTATAATTGAAATTAAATATGACAGAGAGATATACGAGGAGAAGTAACGATTTTTTTTTTCTTTTAAAAAAAAAGAGATAATAGATAAAAATATTAGAATTAAAAATATATATATTCTATTTATAATTTTATAGATTTCGCAAATCTAGTGCTAGATTTAAGTTTGAACAATAGTATAAAATTCATGAAATACATTGTTTTTTATGAGAGTTTTTATGAGTTAAATTTATCTTTTATTTCCTTATAAATATTAATATTTAGGGGATTTTTTAACTTTAGTAATACTACATCCACGAACTTCTCTTACACCTAACATAACAGCTGAGTTGACACTGTGACGTCCACACCCAAAGGCACAAATAATTTTGACTAGACCTAAAGCTTCATAAGAAACGATCGTTCTTTATTAGAAAATGATTGTTCCTCACAAAAGGAATATCTATTCCTTATGAATAAACGTATGGACATCCTAAGGTTGGTCATATCCTCAATAAGGTATGGTGATATATACTTTATGAAGGAATGACTATCATTTCTAATCAAAGTTATTAATGTCTTAGGTATGATGAAAGCTTAGTGAAAGTTTCAACTCTACTACACATTAGATTGCAAGAAAGACTGGATATTGAATTGTAAACGTAATATTTTTCTTTAACTTTTACTTGTTTAATTCAATTTTTTTTTTTTTTTTTTTTTTTTTTATAAGGACTCTTCAGCCCTTTGATAGGATCTAGATTTTGAGTAACGAAATTTGCAATGGAAGTCATTTTATGGTGAAGCTACTGTTAGAACTGTTAGGTGAATAGTGTCAATTTTTAGAACCTACGAGCTAAACTGTTACTTTGCCAAATTTCAAGCAGAAATTTAATTCCTTTAAAATATGTCAACACATGTTTCACGTGTTATTAAATAAATATATCAACCTTCCTAACAACTAATCTCATAATATATATTAATATTATATATATATATATATATAGATATATAATGCTGAAGCCTATAGGCTAACCGTTAATCTCTTACGGTTTTCACAAAAATAATAAACGTATCAAAGGTTTTGAAAAGTAATAGATACATTAAAAAATTTGAGTACGTACACAGATTTATTTGTCAAATTAGAAATCATTAATTTGTTCCAAAGTGATTTTCAGCATTATGAAATTCCAATAAGATATTTAAGGGTTCTCCAAATTCATATAGTCAACTGTTAATCCCCTCTTATGGTATCAATTAACAACAATTTTGTCCCCAAATACCTAAAATAACAATTTACCCATTATCATACGCATATTTTGAAGGTTTTAGTATTAATTTAACAAATCAAGAGTAAATTGTGTAGACATAAAATAAAAACCTAATGAAATAGTAAGTCTAAGTTCCATTTAAAATTACATACGGCTGAATGCATATGCTTATTCAAGAGAACCTCGTGTGTTTATATGAGTCTAAATACTCTAACATTAAAACTCTTGGGTATTATCGTTCCAAATACGGAGGCACGATTCATGACTATTTCAAAGAAGAAAACAAGGAAAACGTAAACATAAAAAAATGGTGAAACAACAAAAGAAGATGTATTCAGAGCCATGTTACAACGTTAATAAAGATGAACAATTCACTCCA